GAGGGTAGGAACTGAAAGTGGAGATGAAAGCAAACGCCAGAACATTGCCAGAGAGTATGAAAGGAGGTGAAAGGAGACAATTTAGGGAAGAGAAATATCCGTCGCTATCCCGGTTCGAATCCGGGACATATTGAAAGAGAGACGAGCACCCTAACCTCTAGGCCACAAGAGCCTTCGAACCTCTACTCTGCGTAGCTGCCTTGTAGGCCACAGCCTCAAACCTGGTTGGAAACGTAATCGGTTAGTGTGCGGGGGGGGGGGGTTGATCTATCTGGCCCATCTATAGCTCCAGATATGGTATAGTCTCAACGAACCTTTACAATAAAATAGCTGCGTTGTTCTACCTCCAACCCGGGTAGTGTTTTGGGCGAGGAGGAGGGTTGGCTTTAGACCGATTTGGCCCATAGCTCTAGATCCGGACTTGCGCTCGATAGCCCTCTACCTTAAAATAGCTTTCATTCTTCTTGCTGTGCAAAACTTCTTTTTGGAAATCTTTAATATTATTTTATTATGTAAGTAGGCGTTTTGACACCCCCCCCCTCCCCCCACCCAACAAAAACAAATTGACACAATTTACATAATTTAGGAGATGGGCTTCCGACCCTGTCTGTCAGGGCCAAACCCGGGCTGAGATGAATACAACATTCCTTCAGGAAGATCGAGATACTCGATGAAATATTTTCTTCTCTCGGGAATCAAACCCGGGTCTCTTCTGTGCGACAATGGAGCATCTCACCGCTGCACCATAGGTGCAGGTCTACCTCTAACAGCGAGTGTACCCAGTAGAACTTAATTTGATTATTTGAAACGTTATTTCATAATTCAGACCTATAGAGCCAACGTGTCTTTCATTGTGTCACATCACATCGAGGGATATAAAGACATATTGCTGGACTATAATACATGTATAATATGTGTGCCCTCGTGGTGAAATCATGCTTTCGTCAAAATAATAAAATTCGAAGAAATAGACTTTTTGTTTTCGTCCGCTAGGCAATTTGTGACAATGGGTTTGTTTGTTTGTTGTTGGGGGTTGTTTTTTTTTGGGGGGGGGGGTTGGGGGGTTGTGGTTTTTTCCCCAACATCTTTTATGGCTTTTTGAAAACACATTTCTGTATTGATTTTTTAAATTAAAAACGTTGACTAAAGGCACAACAAAGTAAATATGCAGTTTCCAAGTACTATCAAGCTTTGGAAATCGCTAATTTTCCTCTAACATCAGGCGACTCCCACTTCCTCGAATCACACGAGTCTCTACTTCTTTTCAAGATAGATGGCTATTGTGTTCATCAAAAGGTAGACAAATGAGCAAGTTTTAAGATGAAACCACATATTATGTCCAAAAAAAGACGAGTGCCTGATCCCACAGCGTCTTGACACATTTAATAATTCAGATTGACAGCCGACATGCTTTCCATAGTGTCAGATCACGTTTAAGAATATTATAAAGACATTGCTGGACAATTATAAACTATAGTATTTGCAATCTGATTCTGCAAACAGCTGAAGTAAATTTCATACATAATATTTATAGAAATTATCCGAACAGAGCTCTATAGCTAGCAGCTTTAAGAAATTCGATCCTTTCTCTGTCTCTATTGTTTTGAGCATACTTCGTTCCTGTTTCGTTTATGAATTCTCTCAGTATTTCCGTGGACTTTTGGTGAGGAAACGGCTTTTAATTGGGTTGGGGAGAGAGCCTAGGGTCGTTTGTTTGTTCGTTTGGGGTTTTTTTTATGTGTTTGAGTGCATTTGTGTGTGTGTGTGTCTGTGAGTGTGCGTGTGCCTGAGGGGTGGAGATGTAAATCAATGAACGCCGTACATGTACCTTTTCAACTTTTTACGTTAAAGAAAATAAAGTTCTTTAATTTGTCTATCAAATTAATTAAACCAGCTTAATTGAATGTTGCACAAACACCCTTTTCACAGTATGACTGTGGACTCGCTTTGACCCTAAGAAGAATTTTGTACTGAGAGTCACTATCTTTCTAGTGAGCTGTTTCTCGCACCGTACATATTGAATTTGACATGAGAAATAAAACAGTAAGCTGCTCACCTTCAAGATAATCGTATTTAATTTTTATGAAGATGGGGGCACATAAGATAATTTACGAGAAGCGGTAGGTTTTAGTCCAAGTGCATAGGTTCTAATCAACCCCATGTCATTGCGAACACACGGGAACTGAAGAATAAAATCATATTGTGGTCTGTGGTGTAGTAGCTCTCTTTGCCGTTGCTCACCTGAGTTCGATTCGAGGAGTGAATTGTTCTAGAGTGTCTCTGTCTTTTTGCTGATGTGTTGTATCCCTCTCATCCTGGGTTGGCCCTGATAGGCATGGCTGAAGTCCATGTCTCCAATGAACTAACATCTTTCTTTCGGAGGAAAAGATCA